CTATATAAACATAATCAGTAAATTGTTTCAGGGTGTGATATTCATTCATATGAGCTGATTTTATGAATCGCTTTTTATATCGACGAATCATGCAGGTTTCTAAATTTCTCGCAAAACAATAAAGCTATTTCATAATTCATAGATTAAGTCACATGGACAAAACCCGGTAAAATGCAGTATGTACGAATAACAAATATTTGTGTGTTTCATGCGGAGTTTCAAATAATGAAATGTAATTAACTGATTAAAACGTAAATATTAGATTAGGAGAAATAAAGTCATCATAACTACGGTCCATTAAAGCACAAGATTACATTTAATGGCATATAAGTGTTGTACAAAACGAATGAATTTGGAAAATTTGCCATATTGTCCGACAAACATCCAAAATAATTAGATTACAAAAACAGGTAAGCAGTACGGTTTAAATTTATAATTATTGCACTTTTTTTATTATATGATTCTAATCAACCCAATTGTCTTATAAAAAAAAACAAATCATCGTGCGTGTCATTCCGGAGTTTACGCATATCATGCTGTTCTTCAATAATAATATAGCCTTGATGATTTTGTAATAAGTCAAAAAATCGGTGCTCTGTTAACTTTGAAAAGAAATATTGTCGGTTGGCTTTGGAATAATAATTGTCCGAAGGACATAGAGCAAAGTTTTTGTATGTCCGCAATTATAAAATTTGATCATTATACACTGAAAATAGCTGCTTTGTCGGACTGATTCGTGTTGTTCTTTCGGACTAAAATGGTTTCCGTTTACCTAGTATATTATATATGTATAATCTAAGAAACACATCGTAAATTTGTAAATTTGTAAAACAACTGATTAAGAACATTATTAAGATTCTTAGAAGATGATATATCAACCCTCTAACAAAAAATATTACACAAATCCTTTAATATTAACAATATATATATATATATAATATGCTGTAATACTACTGCTGTACTGTAGATACACAAATATTAAAAAAAAAAAAAAAAAGATGCGATTGGCATATTATATATAATTGAAACTACGGCTAAGAATGAACAATGTATATAATTAAATATAAGATGCATGTACACATAGTATATTCTCATCTGGTTAAAACACAAAGTGCAATAGTCTAAAATAAATTTAAAAAAAGTATAGTACTATATATGTTATTGTTAATTCATTTAATTATCGTTATCAGCTGTCATTTTAGTGTCCTGCCTAGTCGGCCTAGTGATGAATTTTCCGGAGGTTGATTAATTGTCACATATCGTAATATATTAAAAAAGTATATATAATTACATATAACCTTTAAAGGCTACCGCTACTGTGTGTAATAATTAAGCAATCTCCCTTTATAATCTAGGCGATCAGAACAATAATGCAGGAATGTAAATCGCCAATTATAATATAGTATATTCACATGAATGGCCCGACGGTCTGCCTATTTGAATACTACTTTTAGAAATGTTAATTTTATCGATGAAACTGTTCATACGTAAATTTGGTTTAGTTGTTGTTTTCTTTCTAATTGTTTATACTCAAGAGATGTGCCCATGAACTTTATCTCATTCTAGCGAAAGATTAATTAAACATTGTTAACATTGCAGTTTATAGATTATAGTGCAATCTATTGCTTAATTCAGGAATGGCATACTTTTTAGATCTAAGTGATTGGCCAATTGATATATATTTTAGTAATTTACTATTAAATGCTATCCTATATTATATAGACTATATAAAAATATAAAATTTTTTTCTTTTAATTTGTACAAAAATGAAAGTGACTAAAGTCACGACTTAATTGGTGGAGATTTTCGTCTGTTGAATTGCTAAAACACACATGATCAGAATTTCATATGCTATTTTCTAGACATCAAATTACGATGAATGATTATAAATTGTACAATACGTGCAATACACAAATGGCTGTCGCGCAGCTGGCTAATCAATTTCTCGATATGAATAGATGCATACTTATTTTTATACGTAACGTTAAATCTATAAATATAAATATAAATATATATATAAACATATATATACTAATACTGTAACAAATGTTTTAATATTATAATAACAATTATATATATATTATAAAATGCATCTATGGTGTTTTACACCTATTATATGTTTTTATATTATAATATGTGTTTTTAGATTTTTCTAAGTTTTATATATAAAATTTTTAACACAAATTTTTTACATTAGGGTTAGTAACTAGTTTGACCAGTAGGTCACTCGAGTGATCGACAATTTTACTTGGACAGAAAAACTACCTGTTAACCGGTCACTACTACACTTTAAGTGTTGCAATAGTTTAAATTATCGTCTCTGCCGAAAAATAAAATTATTGGACAGGCAAATCATAGCAAGCCACCGGATAAAATCTACAAGGTTTTATATTTACTAATTTTTTAATACACTAAGAATTTAGCATTCGAACGAAAATTTATTAATGTTGACATTTTGTTATAATGATCTTTAAAACGATCATGATACATAAATATAGCTTTTATTATATGGATCATGGCGAAATCACAAACATAATCGAATCGGCCGTAACATCATTCGGTCAATTTTTATCAGGTGTTCCAGGAATAATGAAAATAGCTGTAATCCGGATTTGTAAACGGATATTATTAAATTATCCGGTTTGTAATCCGAATTCTATCCGGTTATAATATCATCATGAAGAATTTATAAATTATATACAGTAGTAACAGGTAAGCTAAAATTCAGTCACCCAATCCTTGTTGAAATATTATTATTATTTCATATACAAGTTAATGCTATCCGTGTTTTTTTTTTTCTGTTAAAATTTGTTAATAATCGATTAAAATTTAGATTCATACCCTGAATTAGAATCTGATACAAAAGCAAGCTATCCAATTCTAGAATTTTCAAGCAGGTTGTCCGGCTTATAAAATAATAAGATTAGGTTAGAATTAGTATAATATATTCTTGAGCTGGGTAACCCACTTAAGAAATCCAAAATCAGATAGTTCTATTCTGAATTTATGACAATTGTATTTTGAATCGGGTTGATTTTAATCGGAGGTAAAGTACATACTTAAACTACAATTAGGATGCGAACTTCGAATAATTTGGTCATGTTGTATGTATATTAAATAAAGGTGCAGTAGAAACTATGGCATAGGCCTAACAGGTTTTATCACATCTATAAATCAATTCTTTCGATTAATATATTATTAATCTTTGCAAAATAATATATGAAACTATTTAAAAAACAAAGATTCATGTTCACAACCACGTATAAGTTCTCTGATTGACTGATATCGATTGACTTATAATATCCAGATAAAAAATCGGATTTATAAGTCTAAAATAAAATTCCGAATTTATTATCCGCTTTTCAAAAATAATATCCGTTATCCTTATTATATCTGGATATATCTGGATTTTGTAATCCGGATCCAAGCACTACTTTTGAATTGATGATGTCATCGATAATTTCACGATCGGTGAAAGTTAACAAGACATGCGTCGTGCAAATGCAGTAAGTATGCGAAATATAATTTTTTGCATCAAATTTTAGAAGAGATTTAATTATACGAGATATTACCCATCATTTCGCTTGCGGTCAAATTCTATACACTTTGATATTTGCATGATGTATTTTTATGTAGTATTCATGAAAATGCATAAATCATGTTACTTAAGTTCATAATTGATTTGTTATAAGTTATTTTATTATATATAGATTTTAGTAATTGAGGGTTTGATAACAGGAACAGAGTAAAACAAAGTGCACAGTTATATACTAAGTGAAAAAGCATGTATTAAAAATCAATTTAAAACACTTGCACAATTTGATTTAAAAATCACTGAATCTAACCGTAACCATGTTAACCTTTACTATTTATATAATTAAATCAAATTGTACAGTCAGTGTTTATGAACACTTTTACATCTAGTAGATAATCTCAAATGTCTCAGTGTGATTTGCTATAATCTATATCGCATAATCAGTGTAATTTATTGATTCTTTTAATGATTGCGGATTTTAACTGATCAATAAAACTTCGTAAAAAAAAAAAAAAAAGTGGTTATATTTAATTTTTTTTCAGTTTTAATGATAACGAACAATTTGGGGGTATTAACAAACTTAATTTGAGGAAATGCCCAAGAACACTGAATACAGATAAAAGGATCCGGATAAATTAGACTTTAATAACAAATATATCACACGAATAGGCGCCAATATAAAAAAAGTTAAATATGATCAAGAATTCGTCGACTGGTTTAAAAATGAATCTCGAGTTAAGATTCCAAACGAACAAAATTTTATTAATATTTGTCGAGAATGCATGAATAATTATGATAAACGAAATCAAAGTAAAAAGTTTACAGTAAGACCTCTCTAAGTGCACCCCCTCGGGACTATAATAAAAAAAATCAAAATGTGCACTTAAAGAGAGTGTGCATTTATAGAGAACAAAATATATAGTGCTCTTATAAGTTGGGGTTAAGCTATGCTGTGCATTTAGAGAGAACTTACATAGGGCTTGCATTTATAGAGAGTGTACTTGTTTATCTGTTATTTGTTTAGTGCAAGCTATTTTAGTTAGCTAAAAGGATTCAGCTAAAATAAGTTGAGTTTGTTTGGTGTATTTGTTGTTAAAAGTGAACTAGCATCTGAGAAATTTGAATAATTTGTTAGTTGGCCAGAGGGGGAGTGTTTCATTGTTAAAAAGAATAGGAGAGTAGGTGCTAGGTTTGGCATTGGTGAATAGAATTGATTTAATTGGGTTAACTTTGATATTGGCTATGTTATAAAAGGATTTAGCAGTAGAGAGAATATTAGCTAGCTCTGTTTGGCTAGATGCAATCCAGAGAGTATCATCCATATATGCCAAAACAGAGCAATTAGTTTCAAGTTTGTTAATATAAAATTTTTTAAGGTTAGTAGATTATGTAGTTGCAATTGAATATTCAGAAAATGTTAAGTGTATATAGATTATAAGTGGATCATAATAAATTCACCATAGTAAAAAAGTGATTGTCTCTTCTTGATCAATATCATTTTGGACATAGTATGAGTGTGTCAAGTCAAAGTTGGTTATAACTTTATTGTGGTAGTTATTAAATAGATCTAAGAGAATATTAATTATGGATTAGAGAAGGGATAGACAATGCAAAGCATGTTGGAAGAGGTTGAAGTTAACTGAATTATAGCTTTACTTATGTTCTAAAATAGTAGCCATAATTTTTTGTAGTTGCAGTTAGCATTCTTAATAAGGTTATTGAGGATGTGAATTGGGAATGATATGCTGTTGCCTAGTAAGGCAACATAGTTAAGAAATAAAAGGATAAGTATAGAGAAAAAATAGAGTTTAGTCTATTAGTAAGTTTTTTGGTATATATTTTTCTAATATGTTTAATTAGGCTAATAGGTTAGTTAGATTTAGATTGCTATTAAATATATTGTTTTTAGAAATGGAATAGATTCTACCATGTTTTTATAGCTATTATATAGAGTTTTGAATAAGACACTAATTAAATAATGCAGTAAGAGCGGTTGTATATCAGAATCCCGACACACAAAATCCCAACACACAAAATCCTGACACACAAAATCCCGGCAACAAAATCCCAATATACAAAATCCCAACAAATTAAATTCCTAATTTTAATATTTTTAGGATTTTGTGTATCGGGATTTTGTTGCTAGGATTTTGTATGTTGAAATTTTGTGTGTCGGGATTCTGATATACAATTATCTT